TGAAGTGAGCTGAACCGTGTTTTCGTGTTTTAAATCAGAATTACGTGCGTACCCATATCAGCCGATTTTTGATAATGAATGAATGCCGTATGTTCATCTTTTTCAACCTTGATTCCATTTCGATAGCAGCAAATCTTCTATCAGAATTATCATATCAGCCGATTTTTGATAAGAAATGAATTCCTCATGTTCATTTTCTACAGTATACCATCTTGATAATAGTATTGGCACACAAAGAATTGATACGCAAAGTGTTGATCTATTTGTATGAATGTACTACACGAAACAATAGAATAAATTATTTGCTAAAAATATTACATACAGCATTTCAATAAAACTATTTCTTTGTTACGTAACATATAATTTCTTATATCTAAATGTCAAATACAAAAGATATTAACTCAACAGATGAAATTATTCAAGTCACCGATACTTTTAATCAACTGGATTTCACTAATACGAATGATCCGGATAGGATATTCTGGCTTGGTTATTGTTATGAATATGGAATTGGTGTGGAAAAAAATAAGAATAAAGCATTCATTCATTACCAAAAGTCTGCAGAAATGAATAACCCTAACGGAATGTATCAAGTTGGTTATTGTTATTATTTAGGAATTGGGGTTGAAATCGATAAGTATAAAGCATTTGAACATTATTTAAAGTCAGCTAAGAAAGGTAATTCTATGGGGATTTTTAAAACTGCCATTTGCTATAAATACGGAATTGGTGTGGAACAGAACGAAGAATTCCTTGTGTGGTTTGAAAAGTAAGTTATTTGTTAATATATTTGAATTTTACATTTTAAAATTAGAAATTCTTAAAACGATTTAATTTTTTTAGGGAGTAAGTTATAATAGTTAATTATATTACATATAAAAATAATTTTATTTGCAATAGTTTATGTTTAAATAATGTGAAAATAATATGATTCATTTTAATCTAGTTCGTAAGTATAAAAAACATTTATTAATCTAAGCATTTAGAATAATTCATGAATATTTACTATTCAAATTCATTTTATTTACATTAATTTAGTAAGTGAGTATTTATTAATATAAGTGTTAGGATAAGCTATTTAAATTATGAAAGCTCATTATTTAATTTTATTTAACATATCATAGTTAGTGCGTATTAAGAATATTTATTAATTAAAGTATTTAAAATAAGCTATTCAAGTTCATAAATATTTACTATTTAATGTCATTTCAGTCAGTAAGTACAAAGAATATTTGTTAATCTAAGTATTTAAATAAGTTATTTAAGTTTATAAATATTTACTATTTAATTTTATTTTATTCGCATTAACTTAGTTCGTAAGTATAAAGAAAATTTATTAATATAAGTATTTAAAATAGGTTATTTAATCTCATTTAACATACTGCAGTTAGTGAGTATAAAGATCATTTATAAATATTTGAATAAGCTATGTATTCAAGTTAATGAATATTTATTATTTAATTTCATTTTCTAACATACTGCAGTGAGTGAGTATAAAAAAATATTATTAAGAATTTAAAATATGCTAGTTAATTTGTGAATATTTACTATCTAAATTACTTTACATATTGCAGTTAGTAAGTGTAAGAACATTTATTAGCGCAAACACTCGAAATAAGATATTCAAGTTCATGAATAGTTTTGTTAATTTCATTTGTTTATGTTATTAGTGAGTGAGTATAAAAACATTTATGAATCTAAATATTTAAAAGAAGCTATTCAGGTTTATGAATATTTACGATTTAATTTCATTTTATTTATAGTCCGTGAGTAAAAAATATTTATCTAAATATTTAAAATAAGCTATTCAAGTTATAAATGTTACTATTTATTTTCATTTTAGTCGGTGAGTATATAGAATATTTAATATTTATTAATCTAAGTATTTAAATAAGAATAAGCTATTAAAGCTTATAAATATTTACTATTTATTTTCATTTTAGTCGGTGAGTATAAATATATTTAATATTTATTAATATAAGTATTTAAAATAAGTAAGTTCATGAATATTTACTACTAAATTTCATTTAACATCTGCAGTCAGTAAGTATAAAAACATTTATGATCAAAGTTCTTAAAATAAGCTATTAAAAGTTTATAAATATCTACATTTAATTTCACATTAGTATGTGAGTATAAAGATTCTTTATTAATCTAAATATTTAAAATAAACTACTCAAGTTCATAAACAATTACTATTTAATTTCATTTTAGTCGGTGAGCATAAAGAATATCTATTATTCTGAATATTTAAAATAAGTATTTAGGTTTATGAATATTTATTATTGAATTTTATTTAACATATTACAGTTAGTAAGTATAGAAAACATTTATTAATCTAAGTATTTAAAATAAGTTATTCAAGTTCATAAATATTTACTATTAAATTTCGTTTCAGTCCGTGAGTATAAAGAACATTGATTAATATTTAAACATTTAAAATAAACTATTCAAGCTTATAAATATTTATTATTTAATTTCATTTATCATATTGCAGTTAGTGAGTATAAAAAATATTTATAATCAAGTATTTAAAATAAGCTATTCAAATTCATGAATATTTACTTTTTAATTTTATTTTATATGCGCGTTAATCTAGTGAGTGCGTATAAAGAAAATTTATTAATTTAAATATTTCAAATTAGCTATTCAAGTTTATGAACATTTACTATTTAATTTCATTTTATTTGCATTAATTAGTCGGTAAGCTTAAAACCACATTTAAATTTAGGAATGGGAATGGCATAAATAACTAATATAATGCAATTGAAAACTATAGTGATTCTTCTTTTGGAAAATGCGTACATTGTAATGAATATAATACTAGTAAAGCGTGGTGTCAGACATGTGATCCTGATATAACAATTCAAGAGTGGACGAGTGAAAATAAGGATATTGATAAATGCATGAAAGAGTTCCAACTTAGAACTTATTATTATGAACATATGATTGAGTGGATTCCATTTGATAAATTAATTAATCTAAAAGAAATAGGTAAAGGTGGATTTGGCTCTGTATTTTCTGCAACCTGGTTGGATGGTATACGAAAAATTAATAGCGATAGAGGTAACTATACAAGATCCCGTGAACCATATAGCATGGTTGCACTCAAGACCTTGTCGGGTTCTAAGGATAATCCTCATAATTTTTTAAAAGAAGTAAGTTAAATATTTATTAGGTATGCGGTTTATTAAATGTATATTGAACTAATTATATAAATTTATTAAGTTTGACAATCATATGAAATGTACACTTAAGGGCAGCAGGCTTAAAGTATATGGTTTGACTCAAAATACAGAAACAAATGAATATTTTATGGTATTTCAATACGCTGATAATGGAAATCTTCACAAATTTTTAAGAAAAAATTTTCGTGATCTTACCTGGAAAACTAAATTAAAATTACTTAAAGATATTTCATCGGATTTATTAAACATTCATTTAGCAGGATATATTCATGCAGACTTTCACAGTGGCAATATTTTGCAAGATAAAGGCTTTAGTAAAAATATGCAATCTTATATCTCAGATCTAGGACTGTCTAAGAAGAATAACGAAAACGACCCAGAGGATCATATTTATGGTGTCATGCCTTACGTCGCTCCAGAGGTTTTATCAGGTCAAAAGTTTACGAAGGCTGCAGATATTTACAGCTTTGGTGTTATCATGTCAGAGATGTCAACTGGGCAAAGGCCATTTGATAGTTATCAATTTGATGATGAACTTGCAGTAAAGATATGTATCGGATTGCGACCTGAATTTGCACCTGGAACTCCGAAGTGCTATATGGAATTGGCTAAACAATGTATGGACGCTGATCCAGAAAAACGGCCTACTCCTCATAAAATTTATACAAGACTTGGAGATTGGTATGGATGCATGGAAAGTCCGAATGATGCAAATATAATTAAAAGGCAATTCTTAGATGCAGATGAAAAAGCAAAAGAATTGCCAATTGTTTTATCAAAACATCTTGACTTTACATATACTAGTAAAATTATCAACACACAAAAAATATCAGGTGCAATTAAAGGTATTTATTTTAATAATTATATATTATTATTTGTTCATTCAAACTAATTATGCTATATTAGCAAGTAAACCTATCAATTCTGTTGAAGTCCCTGCCGGTAAACGTTATATCACGCTTATTACATTTATAATTAAAACATTTTATTTATTCTATATTGGTATTTATTTTTAAAACATAATTTTATTAATATATAATTTTGGATTTCAATGTTTATACAGATACTTAGATACGTTAATGCGTGGTAACCGTAAAGTATGGCAGTAAATTGTCATTTTTTAAAATGTAATTGTAATAATTATTAGTAATGTATTATTTACTACAAGTAATAATAATATATAAAATAATATAATAAGATAATACTATTATTATATACAGGATAATAATTAAAATAAATATAGCAGATTAGATTAAAATAAAATGTATATATAGCAAAAAATAGGTCCTCTAACTTAAATCACAAAAAAATTGAATAGTAATACTCCAGAGTACTTACTATTAAAATAATGCAAACGGAGTGCTCCATTACAGCATTAACAACCCTATCACTTACGTACTCAATTGTTTATATCAATATAGTATTTTATATGTGTCATGTGATTCTTAATTTAGAATCGATTAGTAGTCACTCAATTATCATTAATACAGTATATATATGCATATATATATGTATTATATTACAAGCGATATCAGCTATATTTTTTTTATGGGCAATGCTAGGTTTGCTCGATCAATTACTTAAACTGCAGCCTGGTAATAAATGATACGAAAAAAATTAAAATTAATCAGCCAAATTGTACTGTACGTATGAAAAATAACAATAGGATCATCAATCATCGTTGAAATTTTAGAATTGATTTACACCCATATTCTTGTATTCGTTTAATTAAACCGAAATATGAATATAACATTTCAGAAATTTCAATGAACTTTATTGTTATGTAACTGATAAATTTGGGAAAACAAAGCTTTAGAACTCTAATCTAAAATTAGCTTTATATTCCTGACCAGTTAGTTGATTTCTAGCGGTGGCTGTAATTTCCATTTGCCCAAATATTAATTTAAACTCTACCGGTCTTTCTTTTCCTAAGTGAGTGTCTGGCATATCGACAATGAGTTCTCCCAACTTTTCCAAACCTTCGCAATAAACTTCATTTAAATTGGTTGAAGTATATAAAGAAAATCGTAAGTGAGTCGTATGTTCTAATGGTCGAAATATAGCACCAAACGTTTCATCAACACCAACTTCTCGACCTTTTTCTACTAATCGATAGAATTTGAAGATATAACGACCATCAATACTTAGATGTTCAGGATCTGTGGTTTCATTGAATACATTTTCGGTTTCTATGCCATAAGTGTACTTTAGAACACGAGTTTCTATTACATCCATTTTGAGTCCATATTCCAAAGCACCACGAACTATAGCAGCCTATAAAATATATCGTACGTTAATAATAACTTAAATATATATATATATTTAATCGTAAATTCTTACTTGAGGTTGTTTAGGCACTGCAATAGTCCTAATGTAATTGAATGTTTTCTTGATCCTTGATTGAAGATATTTTGACTCACTAAATCCACCAACCAAAAACATTATTGTACACACACCTCCAGTACTAAGTTGTCCAGAAATTAAGCGAATAATTTTTTGAATGACAGGATTAAACATCGCCTTAACATCTTCAAATTTTAGTTCAATTATCCATTCATCTTTTTCTAATCTTTCTCTTTCAGCACCAGTTACGTATTGCTTCAACATTGGGCATAATTCTTCTATATCAAGGTCGAAAATTTTGAAATCTTCCTTATTACCAGTAAATGGTAATTTGACACGTCGACAAAATTCCTGTACCATGTATTGGAATTGGCCATATCGATGTGTCTCCAAAGAATTCATTGCAGATTCGCCGACTTTAAGTTTCATAAATTTGATAAATTCATCATCAACGAATGTGCTACCACAGTAATCACCTGTACGTTCAGTAACCTCGCCTAATCGTTTGTTTGGCAACAATTTTCTTGTTGTAAGATCTACAGTACCACCACCACAATCGACGATTAGAAAAGAAGTGCCATCATCTGTAAGGAAATGCTCGTCCAATACACTTAAGCAATGTATGGCAGCTGCTTCGGCTAAATTTGATTCGACATTACAATTAAGTAAATATCGATTGAAAGAATTGATTGAAAGAGTTGATCGAAAGAGTTGATTGAAAGATTTGATTGAAAGAGACAAGATTTTACATACGTTCAGGAGAGAATTGCAGTTTTTCCGAAGTCGGATTGCCAACTTTAATTGATCAGAACGGTTAATAAATGATATACAAAAATGATGAAATTCAAGTAAATTATAATTTAATTTACTTAGTCCTGCATCATGAATGCACTTTCTCAATATCCCTTTAGATTGTTCAGTATATTCAGCAGGAATAGTAAAAATTATTAAAACATTTTCAAAAAAATCCATATTTGGCCACCGAGTATTGATTGTATCTTTTATTAACTGTAAATTAAAATTAGTATTTATTGTATTGTCGACTAATATCAAGTTTAACACACCCATTACCTTTCCTATTTAAAAGTAGTGGCGTAATTTAAGGATAAATAATTTAAGTATCTTCAAACATTTAAATAGAAAAAAAGAAGGATCACCAACCAAGTTCCTTTAGATAGTCAGTAATAGCCTTTTTATAGTCTAATTTTTCGGGTAATTTAGGCTTCTCTGAATCCGGCAAGTCCCCTAAATGTAACTTGAAACGCTCAACAGGTCTACAATCTAAATTTCTTTGGCGTTTTCTAGGGCGTGATACCAATGCAGGTAACCCCCACGATTTTACTTTTTTAAATTCAGTATCATATTGAATTACTGTGTTTGTTTTTATCGTTCCTATAACATCAGGCCATGTATCATTAATTATCAATTCCGGATTTTGTTTATTTGCATAAGCGAATCCCTATTATTTAACATAATATCATGGGCAATTGTAAACTTAAAGATCAATTTCGCGAAACAAACACGAGAAATAAACGTGTAATAGTAAATGTCGCGACTGATGTTGAGAATTTAAAAGTTTTTGGTGTATTTTGTTAGTTAGATTAGGATTTAGTGTTTAAATTATTAATAAAAGTATATATGGGTTTAGTAGTTAAATAGAAATCCCAAATCTCGGCATCAGACGCGACAATAAATGTTATTAAACACACCGAATAAGTTGTTCCAAAGTCTTAATCCGATATATTTCAATATATGTTTGTTTTTTTTTTAAAAAAAAAAAAAAGAAAAATAACATATTAAAAGCTTTCCTTCGCGTTCGAATTATAAAATATTCAGGCTCATTACCTATTGAAACAACTACACGAATATCATTTCTCCAAGCCATAAGTAATCATGTAACGTAAATCATACAACGATAACGATAACGATAAAACGAGGAAAACATAAATAAATTGCTATGGTTTGAATGATGATTTTCCTTTTTTAGGGACGTGTTGAGTTACACGGAAATCGTGGAAATCGTTAGAACTTAATTAGATTCTTGAAATTTATTGGCTGCTTATTACGTATAATAAAAAAAAAACTATCAAATTTGGTTAGGGTTGGTGAGATATCTTTACTCAAACGCCTATCAAAACAATATATATGAAGATATCACAGTGATCATCTAACCAAATTCGGTGAACTCTTTTTTTTTTTTTTTTTTTACTTTGATTCTACAGATATAAAGAATCAAAAAAAGTTCATCGAATTTGGTTAGGCTTTTGCTCAAAGTTTTAAAAAAATTTTGCGTAGCTGTTATTTTGATAGGAGTTTTGAAAAATTTTTTTTCAAAACTTTGAATAAGGATATCTCGACAACCATCTAACCAAATTCGATAAACTTTTTTATTTGATTCTCATATCTGTAGAGACAAAATAAAATAAAATAAAAAAAAGCTCATTGAATTTGGTTAGTACTTAAAGTTTTGAAAAAAATTTATCGCGGTTGTTATCTTGAATTTTTCAAAACTTTGAGTAAAGATATCTCGACAACTATTTATCCAAATTCGATGAACTTTTTTCTTTATTTTGATTCTTCACATCTGTAGAATCAAAAGAGTTCATTGAATTTGGTTAGATGGTTACCGAGATATCTTCGCTCAAATTTTTAAGAACTTTTCGTTCCTTAAATTGTTTTGACTTTGAATGAAGATATCTCAGCAACCGCCTAATCAAATTTGATGATTCTTATTTTATTTATTTTATTTTGATTTTAATAGATCTGTAAATTCATGAAATGGTTGCCGGGATATCTTTGATCAAAGTTGTAAAAAAATATAAATTCTGTGAGGTTATGAAAAAATTGGGATATGGCGCCATATTTGAAATAACAAGTCCATATCGTGATGTACTAAATTTATAATGGTTAAAGAAGTTCTGTTCCTTGACATCACTTGCTTTCGGAAAACTTAATCAGGTCTTTGCAGCAAATCAATGGATTTTAATCGATTATGAAAGTCTATCCTTCATAGGTATTCAGACTGTACGCTAGTACAAATTCGGACGGACATACGAAAATTATACTAAATTTTGATAGTACGTACGTACGTACGTACGCTAAAAATACGTATAGACTTGTAAATTCAAGTAACCATTTTTAATGGTTAGGGCGAGCGCTAGTATTGTCCTTTTTTCATGTAAAAGTAACATGAGCTTGAAGTTTTTCTTTTACAAACCGTACGTACGTACTATCTTTATATTTACGTTTTCGTACTGTACTACTTTACTACGTATATACCCAACATTCATGTCTGACCGCTGATAGGTACGTACGTACGCAATCTAATTTTGGCAAGGAATCTTTTTGGTTAAGATAAACATGTGATTTTCTCATGTTACACCTGATCTTATCCTCGTGACTGATGCTGGCCAAAATGTGACCAATAGGAACTGTGAGCTTATGTCACATATTCAATACATCACCTTCATATCTTTAAATAGGAATAAACAAATGTAACATGCATGGCAGAATACTGTACGACGCTTGTTTCAGGACAGGAGTTAAACTCCGCTCTTGTATTTTTTGTACCTTCCATAATAGTTCTATCACGTTTCGTCTAGAAACTCTTTTATAAAGGTTAACTTTATTTAACTTAACATTCTCTTCTCTCGATTAAAATATATAAGTAGAAAGTTTGATCCCCTAATTAATAGCTATTTTTAAATCATGTCGTCGGACCTTATGGACTATGAAATGGTTAATAAAAACGAAAGTGAGGTTGGAACAGCAAACAATGATAATAATGGTTTGAATAATAAAAACGAAAGTGAGGTTGTAACAACAAGCAATGATAATAGTGGTTTAAATGACAATATAGAAGGTGGCTCTGGTCCAACTAATGAGGATAACTCGGGGAATGATAATGCAAATCATGGTCTTGGCTCAGAAAATGAACCGACATTTGACCCTAGTTCGACGAGTAATCCAAACAATCCTGACAATATCTCTAACTCAGCGGGTGATCCAAACGATAAAGGCTCCAGTTTAGCAGATGATAATGCTCAAACATCCCAAACAAATACTGGAACAATGGACATCGATAATCAAAATGAAATGACGAATGTACAAAATTCTGAAAACGAAGATGTCACTACAAACCAGCAACCATCAGAACCAGAAAATCAAAATGATAATGCTGAAACACAAGAAGTCTTAGAACATGATAAAAAAATTGCTTCATTAGAGGCAAAAATTGTTGAAGATGATAAGGAAATCGCCCAAGCTTACAAAAATATAAGTAAGCTTGAAACTGAGCTTGAAGAAACTAGAAAGAAAAGTCAAGAGATTTTCAATGCAAATCATAAACTTCATCAAGATAATTATAGCAAAGATGCTCACATTTCAAATCTTACAAATGAATATAATAAATTATACAGTCGCTATAATACATTACTTAAATCATTAGATGAAGTTACAAAAAAAAATGAAGAATTAAAAATTGAAGCTGCTCATTATCAATCAAGATTGGGTGATGCGAAAAATTTCAAGCTAGGTGACGATGATCCTAATAATAGTACTGCTCTTACACGGGACATTGAGCAATTACAAGATAAAATTAATTTGTATGCAAGAGTAAAAAAGGGTGTGACACTTAATTTGGACGCTGCGAAGGCTGCCTTGCTAAAATACGGCTGTTCACTAGACCATGTTGCAAATGAAGATTCGGAAGAAAAGATACTTATTAAATGGCTTCTTCAAAGAAACTTGATCGAAATTGTTACGGACATGATGAATAAATATTTAAACAACAAATTTCGTCGTTCTGACGAATTATCTCGCGAATTAGAATTAATAGATATGACTCGTAAAATGACTGGACTATTAAGCGAATTTGATAAGCATCGTGATGGTATTGATGAAGTAACTCAAGCTGCTCCGATAAAACTACGTCAACAGATCTATGCTGTTCTAGGTGATCGTGGTTTTGCCGATGTTAAAGACGAAAAGAAAGAACATCCATTCATCTCTTATGTTGTGAACCAAATTGACACCACCATGTCCAATTTTCGTACTTTTAATGATGATGAAAAGAAACAAGAAATTGATAAATTGCTACCATCTATCGTTAGAGAAATTATAAAAATTTTCTTTTTCCGATTAAAGGTGCAAGAACCAGAAGCAACATTCAGATGGTTTAAAAGAGGTGATAAAATAGATCCTATTCAAATGGTTGGTCCATGGGATGAAAATATAGATCAGTGGTTCGTCGATATATGTTATTTTCCTTTGGTTGGTATAGACCTAGATAATGAAAACAATCGCAAGATCCTTTTCCAGGCAAAAGTTGCTGTTTATAAAGAAAAAAAAAGTGGTTTTAATAAAGTTTTTAACATGTTGATACCCGAAGGAAAGCGTGCACAACAATCTCGTCAGCAAGGCAAACAAAACAGTTCTGGTAGTCCTCCAACTACTAGACAAAATAGCAAAAGTGCTGATCCCGACCTTCAAGGTGATTCAAAAGGCAATTTGTGGTAGCACCGAATGTACCTCCAAAGGGCCAACATTCTCAAAGTCCAACATGTTGTCTAATAATAATCAAACTACAAAATAGCGAAAAAGTTTTTTTTATGTTATAAACATTTTACTTAATGTTAATTTTATTACATCTAATTGTCCAAATTTTTTGAGAAATTATTGTTATTTTAGAGTATTCATGATTTGTGCTGGTGTTTTATTATACAATCAAAAATCGATTTATTACTTATATTATTATATTTCAATAAACACAACCAATAAAATAAGTTTTTTTTTAAAAAAAAATAACTACTATCTACTACAGGTAATTTTTATTTGTGATTTACAATGTATAAAGAATTTTTAAAACAAAAATTAATTTTTTGAAAAGAATTATAATTAAAATAGCAAATGGTAATTATTATTAGAGTGCATTTTTAAAATAAAACAAAGATCAAATATAAAGGTTCAAATTT